GAACCAGCGGTAAAAAAGACTTAAGTCTTCTCGTTCACTTTCGGTACAAGTAGCAAGAGCCAAACAATCAAAAAAAAAACAAATTTCAAAAATTCGGTCTTCTATTCGCAAAGCAAGTAAGGTTCGTCCTGCTCAATTCCAACAAGAAGTTAATAAGTTATTTAAAGCTAATAATAATGAATACAATGCAAAATTTGTGAAATTGGCTACTGATATTAGCACTATCAGGCGAACCTCAATATATGCAACAGTAGAATGTACCAAAGCTGTTTATCAATTTTTAACTAGTGAAATACCACAACACTGGGTAATGACATCAATCTTGGCATGGTGGAATAATGAGATAGCTGCCTTATCTTTCATCCAAAACCGCCCTGTCGATGCTTCAAGATTTTTTGGCTATGGCATCATAGTTGATAAAAGTACACGTAAAGAAACAAAGGTATTAATTATTTGCCTTTCATATTGAAATCATATTAAAGAAAAGTCTATAATTACTGTATTAAAAGTAAAAGACCTAATTCATTGTAATGCCAAAACTATTTCAGCTGCAGTATTTGAAACGTGCCAACAAAAAAAAATTGACCTCCAAAATATCATTTTTGGCTAACAGATAATACGGCTTATATGTTCTCAGAAGCCAACGGTGCAATTGTTAAATTCAACTCACTAATAGCATCTAAATCATTTCGAATTTCTTGTGGGTTGCATGCAACCCATATCACCCTAACAAATTTTAAAAATAAAGCATTTGGAAAGTTAGATGGTGTTAAAGAATTGTCATTAAAAGTGCATCCATATAATCTACTTAATCTTGCTTTTTATCTCCATGATGGATACAATCTTTCAGATAAGGACAGTCTGTTAAACCTAAAATCTAAAATGTTAAGAAAACTCTACAAAATTTTGTTTAATTTCGAAATGTGTCAATATCAACAGCCTATCTGTCAACAGTAGTTATATGAGCTCAAAACTGCCAAACAATATCTTGATCGACGTGAAATTCATATCCGCTTTGCATATTTCTTTATTGAGCAACTTGAAAATGCCAAAGACATTCCAAAATCATATTTAAACAAATAGCAAATATTTCTTAAATGGCTCACTGATAAGCGACTTAATCTCTAAATACCATGTCTTGTTAAATTTGGTCAGAAATTTTATGAGCCCGTTTATAGTTTTCTTACTGGTTATGATCCAATTCCACAAATCCACCAACCGAATAATGTAAATACTCTTCTACCAGGTAATCATGCACACGAAATGCCTAATAAAATAATAGTATAGATTTAAAGGCTTTAGTATTACTTAGAAAATATTCATCAATTATTTGGCAATGAATTAATTGATGCTGAACGTGAGTTGAATGTGGTAGACTTTGAAAATTTTCGTGTATTATTA